ACCACATTATCCAATCTACTGCAATCAGGAAAATGATTGGCAACAGTAGTCTTTGGATTCTAGCTCAAGTAACTTGGTCTTATCTCCCTAAAGATCTTTAGTTCAATGTCTAGTGGCATCCTGTATGCGCATAACTGAAGAGTCCCATAATACGACGAAAACAGATATTTGATTTTAAATAGTTTTCTAACCGATGCCAGTTCTTGACTAAGTTTCCCTATTAAACCCAGAATCCGAATAGTAATAATAATAATAGCGATGGAACTCACAGAGAACTGACAAATTCACTCATAGTCAAAAATGTTTGAAATTTAAGTTTAACTACATTATTATGACTAGCAGTGAGTTTTATTGGCATTAACACTAACTGTTGAAATTCATGTGCATGAATTTCGAAGTCTCGAGACCCGATATGATAACATAAACTGAAAACTTGAACTTTTCATATTAAAAAAAGTTACTTGTAATATATGTTTCCATATTAGAAATCAGAAAAGAGTTTTTGAAGACCTGTAAATATAACATACTTCTAAAATACTGCTGTATGAATGCGTGCTACAAGAGAATACAAGTGATAAACGGGAACATTTACCATGCCATTGGCTTCATATACTACCAGAAATTTATAAAAAGGCAATTTTAAATGTTTAACTTTCACACTTATTGCTGTGATACGACTAGGAAGCCATACTGATTGCTATTAACTTGCAAGAACTTTGACACCGTTCAATTCATTATTCAGTGACAAATATCTAAAGAGATGTTGACTGCTTTTGTCATACCATGAACATGGCAACAGACTATGCCGCCACAAATAAACGTTGTTGCTAGGACAAGAGATGAACCCACTGGTGTTATGAAAGTACTTTATATACATACATAACCTGGTAAAATAGGATTTCATGTGAATCCTATGTGTATTTTATGCCAGTAAGCAGACAATTAAACAGAGATTCCCCCTAAAAATAAGGACTGACAGGTTTCAACGTAGAACTTTGCACAGATGTGCAGCAATTACGAGTTGCCACAGTCCCTCCAAGTCTGAGTGGGGAAAAAGAATAGTAATATGGAAGAACAATGGAGTATCACGGGATGTGATAAATCACAAGGAGTGAATGCATCTACACCATGCCATATCACCAATTGCCTCCAGCCTTCATTGGTTTTTACCACCCCATGGACCCCAATCAACCAGTCAGGAAGTCTGCAATTCCCTACGTGGCTGTTGGCTGGTTGGCTGGCTGGCTCAAACTAACTGTTGTGGATTTCACTGACTAATGAAGCCATGTTTTGGTTTGACCACCACCACTAACTTTCTCTTTTCCAACTTGATCAGACTTATGACAGTCAGCTAACATTGCCCTTCGGATGAGGTGGGCGACGACTAGACATGCATGCGTAACACATGTCCTAACCATCTCTCTCAATCTATGTAACTTCACAATGTGGAAGATTTAAGTTGATAGTGACATTTAAATTCACATACTCATTTTAGAAATAAGCATTGCACGGATAATGAAACTTTGAGAACTTGTCCAGCGAAAGAATTCAATCAAAACAAGATCTCTACACAAATGACTGTAAGATCACATAAATAAGTTAAAACATTCCATTGCATTCATTTAAGTTATGTTGAAGTAAAGGAATCTCGGTTAAATGAACGGTTGTCAGCCTAAGGGAAAGACTAACCCTAGAATACCATGAAATTTGAATCCCTACTATCAAATTATTTGGGTAAGAAGAATGAGGTTGAAGAGACATAACGACTTGAAGCAGTTAGAGATCACTGGAAGTTGAAGAGCACTGAATAACTGTTTCATCGCAGTTTCGAACTTCTGTGTCATTGAATTCCCACTTAATTCATCTGGCTAGGCCTTGTAACCTGAGGGTACCGTATTCGATCCCGGTGGGAGACTACTCAGTTATTAATGGCCACTGGATGAATGTTCTGAAGTTCTAGTACGAGGTTATAGCCAGTGGGGCCCACTGCATCCACGTGAAGTCGATGGTCGTAGATTACACTGATTGGTTGTAGAGTTCTTATCACAATGATTAAGTTCCGACTCAGTAAATGAATGGTCAGTGAATAGGTCTCGTTACTTGAAGGAGTCCCAAGGTAGGACGAAACAACTGTTCACTACTTCCTGGTTTTCAATAATCTCTAGCTGATGCCTGTTCCATGTTGTAATCATAAGTCACAATCACAGGACAGTAAACACACATCCACCTCAGGAATTGTATGTAATTAACCCTTCGCTTACATTCATACTATTGATATAATATTCATTGATGCCACAACGTTTCGAGCATAAACTATTGCCGCTCATAGTCATATCAAGTCACTCAAACAACCTTTTTTTCTTTCATTTATATACATGTGTGGAATCGATTAGATATTGGAATAAAATCAATATAGGATAGCGCACATTTAGAATTAATAATATTAGTGTTATCAATCAAATACAATCAGATGGGGAATAAGACGAGTGGTTTTATAGTCCAAATAAGTAACTTGTTAGAATGTCATAGTGTACGTGAATTGAAATAGACTTTTAAGATTATTTATTATCCGTTTCTGATTTGACTTGTGGTTATAATATCTTCCATGTTTCTGGTATTTGCATTGAGTCATTTCTGTTGCATGTGTTGTATTGGGTGTAGACTCGATGAACCAGGATTCAGTGATCAATCTCTCTCTCTCTCAACCTACCTGTATTACTTCTTAGAATTTTAACCCTCTCCCACCCACCTTATTCTGTGATTGTGTGTTAATGCGCACAGTGCAATCTCTGAGCTTTTTTCTAAATTACTCATCTTCTCGGGGTCAAGCATTCTTACCTTAGCTAAATTCTTGTGTTCTGATAATCTCATTACCCACGATCTACTGGTCTGATTGACCTATGTAGTTGACTAAACTCACAGTCATTTCAGGGTATTCTGTAAATTATATTATTTTGTCTAATTGGGTCTACTGGGTCCTTTAACTACAGAGCTTGTCCTGTCTGAGTGAGTTTGTAGGTTTGAATGCCACCCTAATTTGTGCTTTATTAAAAATCCTACGTGGGGTCTCAGATGTCCCCTCCTTATACGGTATAACAGTGGATGACTTATATTCTCTCTTATTTACGTTATTAATACTAGTTTCACAATTATTTTTATTTTGTTTTTGGCCCTTACTGATCTTCCTAATGAATTTTGTGTGTGATTAACTCGATATGATTATAAGTGGCAAAAGTTTGTGCTCGAAACGTCATCAGTTAATATTATTGTATAACACCACTGTGTGATTTATCAAAATGAAATCTTATCCATAATGGGGTTACATTCATACTGTCTAAATTAATCCATTCAAAAATCTGGTTCTTAATTTAATTTAAACCATTTAATGTAATTTGCATGATAATTGGCTGATATGAATGAATGGTTGGATATCACTCACACTAACCATTAGCTCATGTTAGCCAGATCAAAGTAATCTAAACACCGGGTGCATGTTTAGCCCCTTTGGGACCAAGCTCACCAGCAATGTACTCAGTTTAACTTAGTACAGAAAGCCAAATCAATCCAAACCGTACAGATTCTCACGGTCCACTTCTACGAATTGGTTATACATTACATTAATTTGCAAATGGCGAATTTGTTTTAACTGTTTTTTTAATAGTTGATGGCGGGGAATTTAGAAAAGTTATTTAGATAACAGCTTAAAGAAGAAGCTGTACTACGAATAATCAAGGTTATAGGCGAAGTACTTTTTGGAGATATTCATATCTGTAATGTAATATATTCAACTAAGGAACACCAATCATTCAACTTCTCGTCTCTTAATTAATACAAAGGAAAGCATTTCTATGGAATGTCACTCAGACATTTCAATGGTTCATCATAACAGATAAGAAAATAAAAAAAGGTTTCCGATTTATTTCATAAACTATTTATATTGATGTGCAATGTGTGCGTCAGTGGCACAGCGGTGGAGTGCTCGCCGACCATGCATGTGGTGCAGGGTTGGATCCCCGGCCGATACACTCCTTGCTTACCTCGCCGAGCCAGTAGTAAGACTGATAAAAAGTAAAGGTTGAACATGAGGCTAGTAACCGCATCCTGTAAAAAATAAACACCACTGCTTTGAAAATTCAAGCCTTTAGCTTGAAGCCGCCCTATGTTCCACTGGGAACATAAAGGAATAAAAAAACTGATGTATGGTGACGTTCTTTGAATTTGGTGGTTTAATTGTTAAGTTTTCGTTGACCATCTAGACAATATCCTCAATTCTGAAGAAGAAGGCGAATGAAAGCCTCACAGTTAAATCATTCAGCTCAGAGAACACAACCACATCAGAATCCTCCGCCATGGAAACTTAACATATCAGCACTGTCAGATGGCTGGAGGCAATCGGTAGGCAGGAAGCCCAGCCTTGGACTTAGGTTTCGTGCTAGTTGGCACTCACCACCAGTCAGCAAGACGTATCTGCAACCACCTTGAAGGAACTCATGTCCCTTCTGAGATTCGAACCCGCGTCACTCAATGCCGCCTGCAGTCAGAGACATTACCAGTGAGCAGTTATTAGGGCTCGGAATTGACCTCCTGATGGACTGTAGTGCATACTTTGATTGGACACTAGTAACTAGTGTGATGTGTCTAGTTGTTTCTTTGGTGCAGACTGAATTCTATCAGTCAGTCAGGTTTGCAATTTGGCCACCATTCTAGGTAGCTCGTCATCACGATGCACATTGATTTGAAGATGTTAGATAGCTTAAAATAAACAACAAATTTTCTCAATTGTACTTTAGGCAATAAATATAGGTCACAGGCTTATTTTCGTGATGACTCACTCACTACACAGGTTTTTCTATCATTATAACTAACAGTCATAGTTATTTAGCATAAAAATCGATTCTATATTTTAGTCCAATCATAATGCAAGGTTATGCATAATATTTACAATGAAATTTCCTTATTGGTCGCCTTTTTGCATTTATTTGATTGGCTATTTATCAAAACAGACATGCTAATTTATGTTTTATAAACAAGCTATCACTTCCATCAGAAAATCATTTTTCAGTTAGTTTTTACATCTTACATACTTGAATTAATAATAATAATAATTACACACACACTTGCACAAAAAAATGGGTTCAGTACTTTCCAGAATTACAGCATCACGTAAAGATGAAGCCAATACTACTACTACACCAGATACACGTCCTGCAGGAATACGTAAACGTTGGAGTTGGCGATCTAATAAAAAACCCGCTGATATTACTGTGAATGCTGCGACAACAGTCAACAGATCAAGTACACTACCAGCAAGACCTAGACTACAAGTTCATGAAGGAGATACTGAAACTAGAAGACATGATGATATTTTTGATGAAGAACAACACAGCAGCAACAACAACAACAACAACCAAAAGTTGATTCAAACAGCACTACAGTTAAACAGTCCTCACAAAGTGAAGCTATCTCACAACAACCTAATGAACAAATTAATGTTGAATGTATTAATAAATCTCTTGTTCAGGAAGTCCCCGAAGTAAAAGATGTCAAAGAACAAAATGAATCAGAAAGCAAAGATGAGTTGAAAACTTCAATTTCAATAGAAGAAGCCGATCTTTTGATGACACGTGTTTTATCCGAAGAAGAGAATGAAATTATCAAAGAGGAGGATAAAGTGGAATTAAAAACAGATGGTGGTGTCCTTGCTCATCCTGATTCAAATGTAGAATTCGTTGAGAATCTTAAAAATGATGAGGAACATGACAAAGATGCAGAACATGCTATTCATGATACAGGTGTAATACAACCACAAGAAGAAATCAATAAAAGTCAAGAAGAATTAAATGATATTATTGAACACTCCTTAAAACAAGAAGGCCTCCAATTGGATGAGAATGAAGTAGTTCATGAAATAATAGAAGAAGAATTAAAACCAGTTGAACAAAATTCAGTAACAGCTATTCCTTTTGAAGGTGAAGAAGAATTCCTTGAAGAAGAGATTAGAAAACATGAAAATGCTGAAGAGCAGAAGGTTGTGGACAATGAGATAGTTGAACATAGCGTAGACCATCCTATAATTCCTGAAAACATTCAATTGAATGAATCAATACAAAGTCAAGTTGATGAGTGCTATTCAAATCCTGGCTTAGTTTATACTCCATTGCCAGATCAGTTAATTACTTCTTCAGATACGAATTTGAATGATTTAAACGATACAATTGATGTAACTGGTGAACAGCACAATGTATTACATCAAATGATGGAACACAGTAATTTAGTAGAAAGTTTAAATAATAAGTCGAATTCACCTGCAAATCTATCCAGTGATGAAATATTTCTTATCACTGAACCTATTGAAAAGCATACAGACATTGAATTAACAGAGAATGAGAATAGTCTAAGTGCTATACATCAAGCTGAACAAAGCGTATCACCACATGAACCAGGAGATGTTATCCCTACAGAATCAGTCGAAGAGATGTACACAAAAGAAGCTGAAAAAATCTTGGATGATATATCAACTACAGAAAGAACCACACAAGAAGATGAAATCCAAGAAACAGTTCAGAATGAGTCAGTGACCAGTTGGTTGCCTAACCAAAGTGTACCGCCTCATCATGAACCAACAATCGATATAAAGTCTACCGAGTCGACTGAAGAATTATACACGAAACAATCTGAAGACAACTTGGATAATACCTCTACAGAAAATATTCTAGATAAAGATGTACTTCAAGAGGTTGTGCAAGATGAGTCGGCGACAAATTGGTTACCAAATGAATGTGTATCACATACACCATTAGATGCAAAATATGCCGAAGTAATTGAAGAAATGTATATAGGACATGCTGAGAATATTATTGATGAAGTATTCACAAAGAATATTGAGAGTGATATTGTGCATCAGAAAATAGCCTCTGATCCATTGGTGAAATGTTTAACTCAACCGGATGCAGCTCAAGAATTACTTGAATTTGAGCCTACAGAAGTAGAAGATGAAATATTTATAAAGGAGGATATGCCTTCAGAAAGCATTGCAGCCAAAGAAGTACTTCAAGAAGGCGTTCAGAGCGGCGAGTCAACTGAACAAAGTGTACCCGTAGATATTGTGCCTACAGAAGCAAACGAAGAAATGTATACTAAACAAGTTGAGAATACTTTCGATGATGTCCCTTCAGAAAACATTGCAGACAAAGATGTACTTCAAGAAGGTGTTGAAAACGAGTCAGTGAACTGGTCAACTGAACAAAGTGTACCGGTAGATGTTATCCCTACAGAATCAACCGAAGAGATGTACACCAAACAAGCTGAGAATACTTTCGATGATGTCCCTTCAGAAAACATTGCAGACAAAGATGTACTTCAAGAAGGTGTTGAAAACGAGTCAGTGAACTGGTCAACTGAACAAAGTGTACCGGTAGATGTTATCCCTACAGAATCAATCGAAGAAATGTACAGGAAACAAGCTGAGAATATATGGGGTGATATATCTACAGATGAAGTTCAGAATGACTCAATGACAAACTGGTTACCTAATCAAAGTGTATCACCGCATGAACCAAAAGATGTAAAGTCTATGCAATCGAGTGAAGAATTGTATCCGGAACAAGCTGATGAAATCTTGCATGATATACCTGTAGAAAACATTACTACAACACTTGAAGATCAACTTCAAGAAGATGTACAGAGTGAGTCAGTGACAAATTGGTTACCTAACCAAAGTGTATCACCACAAGAAGCAGTGGATGTAAAGTCGGCACAATCAATTGAAGAAGTGTTCATGGAACAACAACAGGAGCAACAGCAAGAACCTGAGGACATTATAGATAAGCTAATCACGGAGAATATTGATAAAGATGCTGTTGTACAACAAGAGGAGATGACATCCATCCAACTGCCAGAATGTTTATCTAACCCAGGAATGCATAAAGAAGAGAATACTATTGAAGAAACTTTAGAAAATATTCAACATGACAACTTAATGCATCAAGAATTCCAACAGAATGAAGTGATTGGTGAACAAATCAAAGAGCAAATTATGTCATCAGATGAACTACAACTAGAAGTACAAGAAAAGCAGTCTTTTCCAGACACAACACTGAGTGAAGAGAAGCTAGAAGCCAAGGAAGACGAAGTAGAAATAATAGCAAATCAAATGAAGGTTAGTCTTGACAATGATATTGCAGAAGATATGCATAACGAAGAAGTTGTTAGTACTACTGAGGCAAGTGAACACCTACCGGAATCAGGTATGACAACTGAAGAGTCAATTGATAATCTGAAATCGGAATTAGAATCAGCTTATACTACTACTACTAATCCTACTTATAATACCGAAATAGCTGGAATAAATCATGATCTAATTTCGTCAAATAATCAACACATGAATTCTACTGAGAATTTATTCATTCATGATAATGACAATAAAGAATCCAATCTACCATCGGTGGATGTTAGTCATCCTACTGAAATCGATGATAAAAATCATGTTGTCGAAGAAGAAGCGGACAGCTTTATTAAATCTGTATTACAAAATGCTCAAGAGCATGTATGGAATGAAAATCATATAAATGATCAACCACAACAATATACTACGATGCCGACAATTCCCACTCCTACAAGTCTAACAACTGGCAGTCAACATAATTCAATGAATAGTTTATCAGACAATAACAATAATAATAACCATGGTGATGATGAGGAGGCTGATGGAATTACAACTGATGAAAATATTCTCAAAATGAAGAAACTTGATTTAAACCAATCCAATGATCTAATGGAACAGGATCAATCATCAATTGGAAATGAATTACATCATAATAATCTTACAAATAATTCAAATGGTAGTCATCATATTTTGTAGACGAAGAAATTAACCCATCACCACCTACCCACCCCCTCCACACACACACACACACCAGAACAGACTGAAATCGATATATTATTTTGTATACAAAAAGCAATTGAATTGAGTAAATTAAACTAACCCAGTGGAAAAATTAATACCCTCCTGCTCTCTTTCTCTCTCTCTCCAACCAAATTCACCCCACCCCGCCACACCAACTCTCGTCCTCCTCGTAAACATACCTACACACACGTACACACAGTACTCATACATCCCCCCCTATGGAATTAAGTGAGTTTCAATACTGATTACATATTTGTCATTATTATTATTATACTATTATGATTATTGTTATCTTTAAAACACCAATTGAGTTGTACTCATTACTAACCGTTGTGTATTATCATGATTATGTCTATCTTATTCTCGCATCTTTTTTTTGTATTTTCACTTCATCGATTTTTTCTCATGGATATACTTTTTTTGAATCCATATTGTACTTCTTTTTTATTTGTTAATCTGATGCATTTTTCTCGTGTATTTGTGTGCGTGCGTGCAGGTGTGTGGCTGGTTTCAGTGTTTGTTCCCGCTTTTCTTTTTCTCACCTTATCATTTCAGTAGTAGTAATAATAGAAAGAGGAATGCTTTTTAGAAGACTGTAAAAGTTAGTCAGTTAGTTAGTTCGTTATTTTCTTACACGAGGAGAAGGAAGCAGGTTATCATCGACTCCTTTATTTTAGGGAAAATTTGTCATTGTGTTTGTTCTTGTAGCTTATATATGTGTGTATGTGTATATCACGACATGTATTACATAATACTCTTGATTCTATCTACTCTTTTTGTTGTGTTTTTCCTACCTGTCTCACTTTTCTCTGATCACTCAGTCTTTATTTATTTATTTATTAATTTCTCGATTTGTTTAGTGTGATTGATTGATTTCTTTCAGTTTTGTCCGCCTAATTTCCATGATTGATGGACGTCTCTTTTTAACGCCAAGCAAATTGAAAGATACTTTAGTCAAGGTTTATTTATATACTAGTGTGTTCTTCTGTTATATAATCTTGCCTTATGTGTGTGTTTTTAAAAAAGAAATAATTATTTTCTATTGGGAAAAAGACACCATTTCACACATACACACACACGCATACACTAAACACAGACATAACCTTGTTCTTTTGAATTTTGATGAACAACCTATTGTCCTAATTAAAATGTGATTATCTACTAACGAAGATATTTTGTGGTGGTGCTTTTCGAGAAAACCGCGAGCGCTTCTTTCAACATGCATTGAACACATCATTTTAAACAAATAAATGTGAGTGTGCGTGGGCGTACGCGTAAAGTTTGAATAAAATAATTAATTAATTGATTGACACATTTTCTAAGCTTCTCATTTTAATGTTGTTGTTGTTTGTTGTTGGTTGTTGCTTATTTTCTCATTTTGGCATTCAATGATTTATGTGGTACAAGACAGTGAGTAGTGATAAGTAAAACAAAATGGCGACACTAGGAATAACAACAATAATAATGGTCATAATGTGTAAATCTTTTATTGTGGTGGTTTAACAAGTACTATTATTGGAATAATGATGATGGTTTGTAATGACTGCGTTGTTTCCCTACTAACTTTGTAAAAAAAAAAATAAATTATCTGCTTACTGATAAATTTTCATCAATAAAATAAATGACGCTTATTTCATCGATTCGAAAGTGTATTGTTCTGTCTTCTTCTCCACTGCCCCTCTCCCACCCCCGGCACCCCACAATCGTTTACTCACCTTTTTTCATTTTTGCAGGATAATGTTTTGTTTGTCATATTATTGTCATATTATCTGCTAATGCGTGTATGACAGTGTGTGTGTTTGTGTGCGTGCGTGCGTACATGCATACGTGGATTTTTATTTTGACTCATGCATACATAAAAACAAATTATGATCTGTCCAGGTGTTGTCAATGTTCTTCTTAACTCTGCGTTTATTTTCTATATCACTATTGTTTTGCAATAACAGTTCTATAACTGACATAATCACTTATTGATTGATTGATTTTTAAGAGTTGTAGAAGGGTTTTAGAAAACAAAAATATACGTGAAGCCTATATTAGCGAAATTCTACATTTCACGAAGCTGTTATCAAAGTATAGTAGTATATTTGCAACAATATAAAGTATACTTAAAAATATGCTTTTGTTTAGAAGCTTTTTTAATTATGTCAGGTTTGATCATGTATCGTGGATCAGTTAGACAATTGTCGACAACTGACTGACTGGTTTCAATGTAGAACTTTGCACAAATGTGCAGCTGTTCGGGTTACCACACTTCCTCCATGTAGCACATAAAGCAAGAGAATAAAGTAAAAAGAGATTTAAAAGAGAGATAATAGACAGCCTTCGGTAAGAGTAAAGAATATACACCAAAGTCAAATGACCTTGGTTTAACCAATCAGATTCTTCTGGGCGAAAAGTGGTACTCAATTTACAAGGAAATTTACCTACGATATATATGTAAAGTTAAAATGAATCATATAGGGTATATATCTCTAAAATGCTGCAAAAACTGGTCCCAGGCTCTCATAGAAGTGGTTATAGACATAGCAAACCAATGTATTCTCTACTTCTTCAGCTGTAGCAGATACTGGTTGCATATATACAATATATTTCTAAGGGAGAGCTATGATTTAGCGAAGTGTCTAAAAAAATCATCAATTACGTACGACTTACCAACCTTCACAGACTTCCTCATGTGAAGTAGTTGCATCTGAATGTATAACCATCAATATCCTGACAATACTTTTCCAGAGTCATTATTGCTCCACATATGCATGTTTTCATTCCTTCCTATCAACACCTTTATCACAGAGAAGTCAAAAACCAAATCTAGGAGACAGTTTCAGCAAGGTTGATGACTACCAACCATTTGTAATGCTGAGCTGTCTGGTTGGTCAAATCAAGGTCATTTAACTTTAGTGTCTATTGTTTACTCTTGCCCAACCTTCATTGGTTTTTACCATCTCGACGAACACAACCTCCCTATGTGTCTGGCTGACTGGCTTAAACTAACTCTTGTGGATTTCATTGACTGATGAAGCTATGTTTTGGTTTGACCAACACTAGCTTTCTGTTTTCTAACTTGATCAGACTTATGACAGTCAACTGACATTGCCCTTCGGTCGATGTAGTCATGCTAGACTTGCATGTGCAACACATGTCCTAAGCATCTCTCTCTCTCTCAATCGGTGTAACTTTACAGCCTCGTCTGTTGATTTCCTAGAGGTTGAAATTGTTGTTCAGCATTAGCAATGCGTGATCCCACACACCAGTGGGGAGGGGATTGAACCCAGAACGCTCAGGTCATAAGGTGAGCTTGTTAACCTTTCACTTATTGAGACGGAATTCAATAGTTCATGGATTGTAATTTCCGTTGATTCGTGATTGTTATTACCATCACTATCATGATCACCAGCTGCTTAGTAGTTATCCCTGATTTTCATTGGTTCTTTAACTGATAGCAATCTACTATCAAACTTGAAACCGCTCGAATCTCTGTAAACTTCAAAACTCTAGTTATTATTTGTTTATAGAAACTGGGGATATAGTTTTTTCTACTGAATTTGTGCTTTTTTGCGTTCTTATAGTTTTCAAAAATCAAAATAAATTTCCCTATAACTGGCTCCTACAACTGTTTCCTCTAAATTTAGGGCTGTTCAACAGAGGAAGACAGTTGTCCAGCGGTCCTTTGATCTTACTGATCCTCTAAATGATATGACTTCGGGACATTTCACCAATCCTTATGCAACGTAAAGCTGGAGTGATCATTACTGCCATGACTTTGTCAATCTTTTTAATTTTATCCCTTGGTAGCATTTTGTTCGATCCATTTTGTCTTCTAAGTGGAAAATGGAGCTTCAAGACTTGACTTTGACGTTTTATTTATCAGTGGTGTTTATAATTTTATGGAGATGATATTGCTAGACTCACTCGACGCTCAACATCCCCTGATTACCACCAAGCTTAATACCGATTAACAAAGAGGTTTAGGAGTTTGTCGGTTGTGAATGGAATTCAAGGCGAGCACTTGCGGCGTGAACGACTCATGCATCATATTTTACTTTAAAAATAATACACGATCGATTTTATTACGAATCAACTTGATTCAAAAAAGAATCATTGAAAACTATTGACTGACTGCTTTTGTACAGATGTGCAGCTGTTTGAGTTACCACTCTCACTCCATGTAGCACACAAAACAAGAGAAGAAAGTAAAGAGAGATTCAGAACAGAGATATGTGACAAAAAAGTAGTAATATGGAAAAACAATATAGTTTTATTGGATATTATAAATCACAAGGAGTGGATGCATCTGCTCCAGTCACTGGGAAACGTTTTAAGCCATATCACCAATTGTCTCCAGCCTTAATTGGTTTTACCATTTCGGCGACCCCAACCAGTCAGGAAGTCTACACCTTCCTACGTGACTATTTCAAACTAACTGTTGTGAATTTCACTGACTGTGATGATGCCATCTTTTAGTTTGACCACCACTAGCTTTCTCTTTTCCAACCTGATCATTCCTATGACAGTCAGCTAACATTGCTCTTTGTCGAGGAAGGCGATGTCTAGATATTCATGCATAATACATGTCGTAACCATCTCAATCGGTTTAACTTCACAGCCTTGTCGATTGATTTCCCCCATTTGGAAAACAGGGAGTACTCAACAGACATTTCATCCAATTATAAGACTATGGATAGTCTACAGGTATTTCTAGTCGTTGTCGCAAGTTAATAGCAATAATGACAATTGCCTTTATTCCAAAACAATACTTATGAGACAGTGTAGAGTTTTCGGCATTTGGTACATCATTGCATCTCATGTTACTCAAAAAGCATTACACTAATTATAGGTAGAGAAAATTGAGGAAAACTACATTTTTGGCATTAATAGTAACGATGAGGTCAAAAATGTACAAAATGATAATAATATTAATATTAGTAACTAAAATAATAAAATAATTGAAATAGTTTCACCGTAAATTAAAAAAATAGAAGAAATTCAAAGACCCACCCCGATTATTTCGTTAATTACAGACAGAGTAAGTTGTTAGTAGTTTCACGTCTAACACTTCCTGTATTTTATAGAGAACATCGGTTAAATAGGTTATCGTTGAGTTTTTTTTGTGCTTAACTATGCGGGCATATAATCTTTTATTGTAACTTTTAGTCCTACCTCATGAGATACAAGGCGCGGGGAGCTGATGAAATCCTCCAAACAGTTAAACAAAATGCCTACAAAAATCAATACTTGAGAAGAAAGAAGGTGTGGGGAGAGTTAGACAATTATAGATTTAGACCGTTTCTCACATAAATTCGGGTGTGTCTGTCGACTACAATAGCAACCAACTGACAACCTTTTAATACAGTTAAGGGTGAAATTTATTTTCATAAAGTCTCACAGTTCTCCCATACAGTAATATTTACTGATGCAACCACGTTTCAAGCACAATTTATTACTGCTCATAATCATATCAGGGCACTAATCAAACAACTTTCTAACGTCGTTTAAATAATTGCATTAGTATTTTTCATCTCTTGACTTGATTGGTGGTAGTATTTTCAATATTTCCGGTAGGATAACATAGATAAGAGAGAATATAAGGCATCTATAGTAGTTTTAACCATATAAGGAGGGGACATCTAAGACCTGCCCCTACGTAGGTTTCTTAATAAAGCAGGAATCAGAGTGGCATTTAAACCTACAAACACTCTCAGGTAGGACAAACTCCGTAGGTAGGTTAAAGGACCCTGTAGGTTGATGCAATTAAACAAAATAATATAATTTACAAAACACCTTGTAATGACGACTGTGAGTTAAGTCAACTACAAAGGTCAAACTTGTAGGTCATTATGTTTTATATGATGAAAAAATTACCAACTTTCTGAGGAAGTATAAGTACACATCATTGTATCTTTTTTGTTCTCATTGTTACATTGTCGTTAATGTTTTCACTGTCCAGCACTCCCTGGTGGTTTTATTACTATCAAAGCTATGGGTTACATTTCAGAATGCTTACAAAATTACTGTTTGAATTTCTTAAAAACTCCGGGACTATTTATAACATATTAAAAAAAATACCTGTGATGTATATATATATAAATTTGCAAGACATACCATCTTCACGTTACTTCACTCCAAAATTGTACAGTTACACATATAGTGTTCTATAAGGTCATAGAAATGCCTATAAAGATCACTTGTTCGTAGCATTTGGTGATATGACATATGAAATTACACTTTAGGAAAGATAATGTGCGTAAAACTATGAAACTTAATTAAGTGATCTTACATAATTTAAAAGCCTTTAAGTGGTAAATATCGCTCAGAAATGATTGCCATTAAATACGGTAAGGATTTGGGTAACAGAAATATTGTTCATAAGAGTAAGTGATTCATAAGTTCGAAAGGCAAGAGGACGAAGACGAACAAGTGTGAATGAACCACCAGATGTTTCGGCCTAGTTTGGGAATCATCGACAATGCTGGACAAAAATATGTTTAAGGTCAAGACAGTGAAGGGGATACAACCAACCACTTCTGTTTACATAGTTCAGGTTTTCCTCTATGTATAGTAAGAGCTTCTGCTCTGGACAGAAGATGTCAGCAACTTATATGCCATTCTATTCAGATTAATGTTGTTTAGAACAGCACATTTAAGCGAACAGTATTGTGTCTTTAATTAGATCTCATCAGGCTTAACTCTAATATACATAAGTTTACAAATAAAAATTCAAATATAAACCAATCATGATGTTTTGTCAGTAGGATAATACGATGGTGAATATAAATTGTGCAATTAGTCATAATATTAGTGATAATATTATGATCAAATCCCCAAAAAAAAAACCCAAAAAACCAATTAATAATAATAATAATAATAATGGTCCTTTCAATAACAAGGATGAAAAAGTGAGGCAATCTGTGATAAGACGAATAATGAAAAAAACAGCATGATCAAACAAACAATTGTTCAGGTGGAAGTAGTCGATAAAGGCTAGTAAAAAAAATGAACCGATTAAGTAATGTTAGATTGTAAGGGAAGTAAATGAAACACGCTTATAATGAAGATAAGATTAAGAGATGATAAGAAAGTGGCTGAAAATATAGACAAGGGGTGGTGTAGAAGTCATTAGTTGGTCATGTCTTAATAGGCCAACAAGGGAGAGAGAATGGCTGTACGAACTTCTTTTGTATGCAGAGTTTAGGTTTAATAGTTCGAATGCCTATCGCCTCAGCTTTGTGTTGTAGACGAATACGAAGTCTACTGGAAAAATTCGGTGGGATGGGATGAATTACCTTGAAAGCTTTCTTTTTTCCCATTGCGTAACCACTATCAACTAAACGTGAAAAAATGGAGCTGCAGATTGTTTTCTTCTGTCCTTTGCCAAACCACCAAGATGGGAGATGTTCACTAGTAACACGTTGGCTAAGCTGTCTATTGGTACACCCAACATAGTTGTCACCACAGGTGCAGTTGAATTGATAAATGCACATACCATGTTGTTTAA